AAAAACAATTGTCAGGGCTTTTATTTTTCAGAGCCACCTATGCGTTATAGACTTATTTTGCATTGAAATGAAAATAGCTTGATATGCTGTAGCAACATGTGTTATTTTTATGCTGCAAATTTGATTAGAGAGTGATATAGTTGGTGTTTTCTACTATATATTATCAAAATATTCATTGTTAATATTTTAAACCTATAACACCCTGCTACATTTCTATTATTTGTGTTTGATAAGAAAAAAACTAAGATTTCAATACTGGGGTCAACTGAAGTGGGAAGGGGCTCGTATGTTAACAACAGTCAAGGGTCTGACAAAAGGTTCTAAATATACCCTAACAAGCCTAAATAGGCACTTTCGTCGAACAATAACATCTAATTAATACGAACCTGGTTGTTTCGTGTTACTCTATTATCTTAGTAATTAAGGCCCTACATTCAGGATGCTTGTGCCCTGTGAGTGCACATAGACGTTCACATTGTTGGTATATTCATGAAATAGTGTAATCACTTTGTTCAGGAAAGTGTTGATCTCAGCGAAAAACTGACATATTCATGATCTACGCACCCAATTTACCCAAGAAACAGGTTTTGTTCTAAGTTGCAGATTACGAGTTTTCGAAAATTTTACTTCTACGCCTATTGTAACCGCAAAAAATTTCGAAAGTGGTATATTGATTTTTGGATGTCTGTAACATATACTTACATTGCGAAAAACGATGTCACTCATTTCCCACTGTCTGTCTGTTGGTCAGTCTATCGTTCTGCATGTTGCTGTCTGTCGGTCTCTCTGTCCTCTAATCCTTAGCCCTTCTATAACTTCGAAAGTACTGCTTGGATTTGAAATAAATTTCTACACAATGCTACTACTATGCCAAGGGCGAAAAAGCTTTTTAGTTTATGAAAATCGGTGGAGCCACGGGGAAAAAACATAACGACAAAAAAGGGAAAGCGCTCGCTTTTTGATTATTTTCAGAAATTTTCTTGTAGAGTTCAAGTGCTGAGCGCTATAGGGATTAGGGGAGGGTATATGTCAATTTTTTCCACACAATGATTTTCCCATACATTTGTCGCTAAAACTCATAATTATAGAGGAATGTTTTCGATACACGTATCTGAGTCTCTTCTGAAGGTTCACCGGCCGTCGTGCCGACCTCGACAAGTGCCCTACCATTACTGCAGCGCTGCCGCATCTGGCGCGTCATGAGGTGTGGAGGAGGGGCGACGTTGCCAGATGGATGGCAGTACCGGTAAAGGTAGAAAAAGGATGTTATTAACTGATGACGACGTTGCATGGGAAGTGTAGACTCCACCTACTTGACGCAATTTTTTTAATCAGATTTCAAATATGACCCACAAGCGAAGCCCGGTCTATTGTCAGAAAATGGGAGATTTGGGACCTACCGTCGATCTTAACATCCGACATTTCTCCCTTCCCTCAAGTAAGCATCGGCAACTGTTGGCAGTACTTTTTACAATAATGTTCCATCAGTAGTTTATGAATAATAAATTGTCCTAGACACGGACACTGTTAGAATTATTATACTGTTATTCGAAAGAATGGGCATTTAACGAATATTGACACGTTATAAAAGTGACGCAATGCGATGTAAAATTTACGATTATTGTTTAGCGTTTTTTCGTAAGTAAACAAATTTTACTACATCAATTGAACTTTCACCAATCGTTAAGTTGAAGCACACCTAAAATGATCATTTTGAGAAGATGCGCGTAACAGCCTCTCGACATCATTTAAGAGCGGTATTTAAACTCCTCTTATTATAATCCTGACGGTTAGCATAACTTTTTAGAATACACATTTTTGGATCAACATAAATTAATTTTATTTAATTCGTACATTTGGGCCATTTAGGCCATCCTCGTATACATAAAGTATTCTGGAAAATATTAAATCAGTACCCTTGGTACTGCTTGAGAAAATGTACGCCTAAAATTTATAAAGTAGGTTTTCTGCAAAACTGAGAATTTCAAACTTGTTCTATATACGTATACAGGGTGTTCAAGATGGAAGCATTTAGTATGATTACACCAGAGATGTTACGTAAATGGCTTTGATAACCTAAACGTTGTACGAATGAAATAAAATGAATTTACGTTGACCGAAACCCAAGAATTTTTATTCCAATGAAATTAAACGCGTCATATTTTTTGCTACTCCCGCCAAATAGCGATAAAGTATTGTTATCGCGTTCTGGTATAACTTGGGAAGTACTGGTCGGATTTTAATGAAATTTTGACACAAAGATACGATTATGACAAGAACGGAAAAGTTTCGTCTATTTGGGATGCTAGCAGTCTCTCTAATGTGACTATGCATGCGTAATAATATGCTGTATATATTTGAACGCTCCTCTTAACAATTGCAATTATCATTCGTTTACATTAACATTCAACCTCGAATACGTTGTTTCTCTTCTGAAATGTCCGTTATCTTATTATCACAATTTTTAATTTATCGTAAATTTATTATTTTGTATACACTTTGTTGGTACCTACGACTGAATACTTCATTGCTACGCTGTTTAAAATTTCTAGACAACGCGGATGTTTTATTGAGGCCTTCGTGGTTCTAAATACCTCTTTCTTAATTATACGAGGCTTGAATTGAGTTGTTATCTATTACAAGTATAATGAACCAATCTAAACGTCAAAATTGTGTACTTAGTTAATAAAAATCCAAAATATGGTCCTTGATACTTTATCAGTCTTTCGTATTTCCTTGGGCAAATAATTGAAACTGCAGCCATCGGGTGAAAAAAAGGTTGTCGCTCCAGCATTTTATTTTCCACGTTACTGTCGAGGAAGTATTGTAATACGTGAATTTAAAAAAAAAACGTCGGATTTTGGTGAAATTTTTACACAAGGTTACTACTATGCCAAGGACGAAAATGCTTTGCAGTTTTTGAAAGTCGCAGGCAAAAAAAAAACAGGTAGTGCACTGATGCTAAGGTTGCGTATAAAGTGCAGAGTCAACCTCATTTACGCCATTTTTAAGAACAAATAACGAAATTATATATTAAATTGCTTATCCTGAAAGAAGATGAAATGTAACGACGAAGTGTAATTGCAAGATATAACACAAAAGATAGCATCCATCAAGACTTAGTTTGTTCATTTTCTCGGTTTTCCTAAATAATTGAAATTAAGAAACTCTCCTCTTGTATTCATGAGGCACGCGTATCCCTTGAGCTTAAAGAACATTAAGGACGCCGATAGGGAGACCTTCACCTACACGTATTATTTCCGGGTTCAAGGTTTCGGACATTCGGTACAGGGTCCAAGTCCTTCTGCCTTTCTGTGCGTAGTGTCTCAAATTCCATTTTCACCGTCAGCGTATCAGATACACTCAGTGACAAAAAGTAGAACACTCAGTAAAAACGATCTTTTTTGAATAAAATGTATGCAGTACGAGTATGTGACATTGGGGTTGCCCAACTCATTATTTGGATAATACAGTGATATAACAAATGTTTTCACTCAAAATTCAATCTTGCTTTTGTCATTTCAACTGTATACAAAATTTTATTCAAATTATATCATTTTCACAGGATTTCGGAAAGATACTATTAGATATTTTATGTACAGTAGATTTTGCTATTAGACAAAGCTGCTAGCCACGGGACAGTTTTAGGTGATGCTAGTGACAATGAGAAAGAAATCTCTGCAAAATATCACATTCTGAGGGATTAGAAGCTCTAGAAAAGGCGTTGACTTACGCCGAATAACAAGAAAATGCGACAGCAGCTGATGTGCTACTTATCAAACGTTGGAGGGATATTGCTGCCAAAAATAGGAACAATGCAAAACGTGTACAGTTTAAAATTACTTCCTTTGTTACCAGATACTCGTACATTATGTACGTTGGTATCCACATGTTTATATTTTATGTAACTTTATACTCACTTGACACACGCATTTACTTTTTTCAATAAAAGCATTATGAGTTTAAATATTTATTTCCATTTTATCCGAAATTTCGATTATCCGAAAGCACTTGGGTCCACATTATTTTGTATAGTCGGGGTTATCTACTGTATAAAAAATATAAAGCTATCGACCGATAACTATTAGTTTTCTATCAAGCAGCCTCGTAACTACCCACTTTCAACATGATTTGCTACATATAGCAATATTTTCTTTGTCTAGACAATTTGCACCCAGTGACTTTCGTTAAAAATATTAATTCGGAAGTATCTAGGTATTAACTTTATTCTCAGGAAAATTGAGGAAACTCAGAAAGCAAAAGGCTCTCAGGGATTGTTAGGGTAAACTCATGAAAATCAATTGAAATATGCTGGTGGGATAATGGTTTAACCGACTGCATCGAAAGGAGGGTTATGTTTTTCGCGCGTGGGTGCATGTGGACAAAACATTCTATTTCAGGGACTACAGTCTAAACGGATTGATGGATTTTTAGATATGATGCGTTCTTAGATTCGTCTTAGCAGCTAACGATATATGAAGATTGAAATTTTATTAAATTAATATGACGGACTTGAAACGAAAATTATATCTTCGATATTTCGATTTCACCGGCTTATTCGGCTTGATGGATTTTTACATACAAGCTATCCCTAGTATTGTATTGACGGTGTGAGTGTTGCTGGTTATACCAAAATTTCATAAAATGAATAAAAGGTATCGAACATTTCAACTTGAAAGTTTACATTTCACGGGTATCAGCACAAACGGCTTGACAGATTTTTGATATTTGAGGTTAAAATTTCATCCTTTTCATTCAGTGCGGTCAGGTTTTTTGAATTATTTTTAAATGTATTTGTTTAATTAGGCATGACTAAGGATTATTTAATTTTTCACGCGAAATATTATTTTCTAAAATTGATCTTCAGGAAATGTTTTGGCCGTTATATTTTACAGAAATCTTTGGCTACCATAATAGATACAACTCAATGTAGCCTCTGAGCTTATTTTCTGTTTTACACCGAAGCAGGCAGAAGCCTAAATGCTAGGGCACCGCGGCTGCTATGAGGAGCTGAAAGAAACTTTGTTAATCCGATTTTTGGACTGTCTAAGGTTAGTAGAACTGGGAAAAGTCTCCTCATATAGATTGTTTCACAATATCGATACCCTAGGAACAAAGAAGCGGTCGTATCTGCCAGTTATGGATGTAAAAAAATGAGCAAAACAAGTAGGCGTAGCGGTAGGAGAGAGCTAGATCGTCGACGGCCCGCTGGTGCGAAAGGGTCTGTTAGAGAAGAATCATCGATCAGATGGACAACCCTCCTTTGAACAGCATCGCGCATGGATAATGTAGTCGGGACGGAAGTACCCCAAAAATGTGAGCAGTATTCTGGGCCTTAAACAGACTGAGGTCATGTGGGTAGACAGTCGGTGTTCCAGAGAAAACACATTATAGTGGAGGAAAAGTGGTTAGTATTTTGGCCTCACCGATGGTAAAGATCGAATTTGGTACACTGTGTAGTCTCTCAATATATTGCGCCGTGGGTTTCGGTGCTTGTAGGGTCTGGGCGGACGAGCCGGCCGGTGCGGTTGTAGAGGCAGCGGCATCTCGTTGGCGCGGTATTGATTTTCTCAGGCACTTTCTTCCTCCCTTCCTCCCGCCCTTTTTTGCCCTTCGCGGAACAACCGATTCGAATCAAACGTTGTCAAAGGAACGCATCTTTATAGATTCGGTACTACACATAAAATGGTGGCATGGTATAAGAAAAGATTGGTTGGAGTTAATGTGGAAAAACCTGCACACCCTAAGAGCTCTGTTCAGTCAAATATGTATGTCAATCTGGAATTTTTAATCATGTATATTTGGTCCTTTCACCTCTTGCGCTACTGGCGATGATTATTGCAATAGCGAAAAAGTTCGAATGTGAGGTATTATGATTTTTGCAGCAAGAAAAACAAAATGTAGGGGTTATAGATATGTATACCTCGATTTTTTGGCGCAAGTAGATTTAAACGCTTTCAACTTCAGTAATTCTAAGCACCTATTAGACATATTTCACACATCATAGGTTTCTCCGTTCGTTTGCCCTTAAAACTTAGAATAATAGAAAAATATTGACAACACACATATCGCACACAATAGAACGAACATAGATATTCCTGTGTCAGAGTCTGATCGATGGGCGGCTGGCGAGGTTAGTCATAACAACGTTGTCAGATGGTCGGTACTATCGGTAAGGCACTGGAAACATTTTGTCAAACTATTGGAGACTATTTACTGATATGATAGGTCTGTTTGACTCGCTATTTAATTTTTTATTTGTTCTACATGTTTCCCAACGCTTCAGGGGAAGTGCAGAGTCAACCTACTTGACCCCATTTTCTAGGCTCATATTTGAAATTCTTAACGTTGAGAGAAAACGCATTTAGATCGTCTACATTTACCCTCGAAATGATCAGCAAATGTAATTTCAGTTTTTTAAGCATATCAAACAGGCCGGCAAGATATCTAGTACATTCATCTTCGTATTTTTTGAAAGGCTCAAGTTGTGTTTTTGATGTGACTGAAAATTTCGCTTTTCTATACTATAATACTTTAAAGAGGCTTTGCAGTTACATAGAAAACTTCATTTCAGTTAAAATATAAAAGTCGGCCAATAATATTAAAACAAGCGATCTACACAGGTTTCTGTTCAGTAGGATGACTTTTCTTGCGCAAGAATTTCTGGGAGGCAAACTAATTTCTGCATAAATTATTGAAAAAGTACCTTCAACTGATCTTCACCGCCCGTGAATGTAGGAATATGTTTCGAATACTCATTAATGTATAAATACTACGCTTGATGTGGAACTATCTTTGATATGGCAGCAAACAGCTGTTAGAGTATGAAACATTGTATATATCTATGAGTGCCTCAGTGCTTTTTAGGCAAAATTACACCAAACTTCTCTCTGCAACACCATTTGCTAGCTATGTATATGGTCGTTTATCAAGATTAACTGCGATATATGCGACACAGTCCCACATATGAGCGGCATTAGTATTAATTAAGCCTCGCATACGCGAACATATGTTGACAAAAATTACTGGAATACTTCAGATGTATAAACAGTCTTGCTATAAATACAACTATGTAGCTTATTCGGAGTATTCATATTTTATTGAGTTTACGACATTTTGGTTAATTTCATCAGTTCACTAGTTAGTTCATTGATTAATCTATTCAGTACCTGTTCACTGTTGTCAAGTCATCGTTGGTTGTCAGAGCGGTCCGTGGGACCTTAGCTCTTGAGTCACAGTGTCGGTTTGTAAGTCTGTCAGGTCTGGTAACCCAGAAACCAGACAATTTTAAGGAAAAAAGGGGAAGGAAAGGAGAGAAGGAAGAACGAGAGCAAAGGGGAAGAAGAGAATCTTTTAGGATATGCAGCGTTTAGGCATTGTTAAAATCGCTTCACAGATTTTGATATGGTCTAAAAATATTTGATTTTTTCTAAAGATTGTGTAAAAATGCTCCAATTTTGGTTGTTCTAAGTTCACGAGTTAATTTTGATTACAGTGCGAGCCGCGGCCTTTTGTGCTTGCGAACTTGCTCGACTGTGTAGTCCACTGAATCACGCAACAGAGGGTTGCTGTGCGATTCCGCTAGGCTATAGCGCCGCTGCGCCTGTTGCTTAATGTAGTCCTTTAGGTAAGGGACATCGAGGTCTCTATGTAGAGTTTCGTTAGAGACATACCATGGGGCATCAGCAATAGTGCGCAACGTCCTGCTTTGCAGAACCTGCAGACTTCGCATGTGTGTTTTAGCAATAAAACACCAAGCCGCACATGCGTATGTCATTGCTGGTCTTATGACCACCTTATAGAGTCGAATCTTGTTAATCAAACTTAATTTTGACCGTTTACATAATAATGGGTAAAGCTGCCGAAACGTAATTTGGAATTTAGTTTTTAGCGCTTCCATATGGTTCCGCCAAGTCATCCCTTTGTCCAGAATGACACCGAGATACTTAGCGGAGGATTCCCATGGTATACGAAGTCCATTCATTGAAACTTCAGACGGAACGCCGCGACGTCTTTTTGTACAGTAGATTGCCTGAGTTTTCGAATGGTTTATTTTAATTAGCCACCGATCCGCCCAATCTAATACTTCTTCCACCGCACTTTGCAGCCTGTCATGGACTAGGTCACCAGACCACGACTGAGCCACCAATGCAGTATCGTCAGCATAGAGATAGACTTCACAGTTGCTGGGACTAGGGACGTCATGGATGTACAGTGAGTAAAGGATAGGTCCAAGGACCGAACCCTGAGGGACGCCGGCTGTAATCAGCCGTGTTGTCGACAGCACATTGTCAATTTTGATCCGAAATTTCCTACCTTCAAGGAAGGATTTCAGTAGTTTTAGAAGCCAAAAAGGGAAGCCCTTTTGGATTAGTTTATACAAGAGGCCCGCGTGCCACACCTTGTCAAATGCTTTTGAGACATCCAAAAGCAAGATGCCAGTACTTTCGTTAAGGGTGAATCCTCTGGTTACACGTTCCACCAGCCTAACCGCCTGTAGCTCCGTACTATGTTCAGACCGAAAACCGAATTGCACGTCAGGAATCACATGGTGATCTGACGAGAAATTCTCAAGGTGGCGTAGAATCACCTTTTCAGCGAGCTTAGACGCAGCTGACAGCAGGCTAATGGGACGATAATCCTGGGGAAATATCGAACCCACCTTCTTTGGAATCATTATAACTTCAGCGGTCTTCCACGCGGATGGGAAGTACTGGATCCTGAGCATGGCATTGACTATTGCCACGAGATAAGTTAAGGACTTCCGCGAAAGCAGCTTCAGCGCCTTATTAGTGATTTGATCCTCCCCAGGTGCTTTACGCACTTTAAGTCTTTAATATGACCTTGAATCTCTGCTGGTGTGCAATGCGGGATCTCAGGAGATACCGCTGATGTGCTAAGCAAATCTTCGGTTGAAGAAGCTTCTGAAGAAGGATCTTCTGATGAAGAAAAATCACCAACGAATGCGCGACTGTCACTGACGCCGTTGGCCCTAAAATATCTCCTGACAGATCTTACGATGTGTTGCTCCTCGTTGAGGTCATTATCAAGATCATAGTTGGGAGAGAACTGTCTTTCCATGGCATCGGCGAAAACCTCAACCTTCTCCTCTGTCCTGAAGACAATGCCTCCAGGACCGTGAATGTGTGGGATTTGTTCACGCTTTCCGTTTTTGAGCGACTTCGCCACCTTCCAGAGAGGAATGCTTGAGTCAAGCATCCCCGCCAGAAAGTCGTTCCATTGCTCATTGCGGAATTCATGAAGAGCATTTCTTACTTCATGAACAAGATTCGTCGCTCTGCGAATGTCATCAGGATGACAAGACCTTTTCGCTTGCTTAATTGCAGCTCTTTTATCAGAAATTTTCTGACGAATGTCTGCTGGCAGAAAAGGTCTGCCGTGTCGCTGCACGGGAAGTACAGCTGCACGCTGCAGAGTTTGCTGAACAAAACTTGTCCACTCTGCTTGAGCCGCATCTATACCGTTCTCATCATCTATGATCGGTATATTGGGGAACTCTTTGAGGAGCGACTTGTATAGCTCCCAATCAATGCGTTTCCTTGGAGGGATTTCATCCCCCAAGATCTGCTCATTAGCCACTTCCAAAACGACGGGAAGATGATCGCTTGAGATGTCATACATGATTCGAGAAGTGATGCTGTAGCTACAGTTTTTGGATAATGCCAAATCAAGAACGTCAGGTGCCTGAAGGTGATTAAATGGGTGGTGCGTCGGCTCCTCAGTACTATGTATGAGGTAGCCATTTCGTATCACATGGTTGTACAGTCGGATCCCACTGGTGGAATTCAACCTGGAATGCCATGCTCGATGCTTGCAGTTGAAGTCCCCTGCCACAATAAGTGGACCCGAGTAGTCTAAAAGGACTTCCAGATCCGCCTCTTGCAGCCTGTTACCACACCTGACATACACCGATGTGATTTTTAACGGCACACTTCCCGCCATATTGACCACCACGGAAGCCGCTTCGATGCTCTGCATGTCAGCGTTTGTGCTTCTGTGGTAGTCAATACCGCGTTTCACTAGCACTGCCAAGCCGCCACCCCGTCCAGTCAATCTATCAGCCCGGATAACATCGTAATTCGGGAAAGCTAGACGATCTCCCGGATTAAGTAATGTTTCCTGCAGCAAGGCCACATCTATACTTTCGTCCACAAGAGCTTGATGAAATTCCCGTCTTTTGGGAATGTCCCTTAGACCCAAACAATTCCAAAAAAGAATTTTGATAAATGCAGGCTGTCGTCGATTGTACCTAGCCATTTGCAGGAAAGATCGCCTGCAAAGCCTGTGTTGCGCTAATCAGAGGACCTATGATCTGCTGTAAGGACCTTAGCGCGGTTGCCAGGTCCACATTTTGCGTGTTCGCAGAAGATCCCACAGAGGGGGCAGCCCGGGTTGCATCCCTAGCTGCATCCGCGTAACTTACATTGCGCCTTTGCGCTATCACTTGCAGATTTTTCTTAGGGGCAAATCTGCAAGTTCGGCTATTCGCTGGATGCCCCCCTCCACAGTTCGCGCACTTTCGTTCCTCTTGTTCTGTTTGAGGGCATAAGTGGGTCATGTGGTCAGAGGCACATTTTAGACATTTAGGTGGTGCAGTGCAGTAAGATTGCGCATGCCCATATTTTTGGCAGCGGTGACACTGCCCGATGAGTCTCGAGTTCTTTTGAACTTCGACTCGGATAGCCAAACCTAGCAGCTCGTGTTCGTTGAACAGCTGCTGAGATTTTTCTATCTTGGGCAGTATGACTACCACCAAAGGCATGGGCACGCCGCCACCGCGTTTCAGGCGAATTATGTGCAGGGGGGAATATCCCCTCTGTTGCAACTCTTCCTTGATCTCAATTTCCGAAAGTGTCGCATGTACTCCTCTGATTACAGCATGAATGTTCCTCTCGGAGGGTAGAGGGAAAGTGTGATGGGGCACCTCTTCCTCCCTGAAGAGACGAATAATCCTGCGGTAATCATCCTCGGACTTGGGAATTATCCTGATTCCTGCATCGACGGCAACCGCGCGTTCGAATTTGATGCCCAAGGAAATAAACTTGTGATTTACGCCTCGCCATCTCGAAGCATCACGAAGAACGATGGGGGTAACACGTACCTTGCGTGGGGGCTGTGCAGTCGTGTCTTCTGGTACCTGAGATGTCGAAGGCGTGGAAGTAACCGATAGATTAGGCACAGGCTGTTTATTCGAGTCGCTTGCAGTTGAATGAGATGTTTCAGACTGCGATTTTGGTGAAGGGAGAGGAGGAAAGCCTGTCGTGTCGGTCTTGTTTCGTCGCGTTTTACGGGGCTTAACCTTGGTAAAACCGTCAGGGAGTGTATCGTCGTCTGTGGAAAGATCGCTTGAATTATTTAACGGTCTCTTAAGATTGACAGCTTTGTCTTTACTGGGATTTTTGGGAAGTGTTTGGGAAGAATTTGTAATATTTAGATGGGAAGGTACCTGGGTTTTCAGTAGGAGGTCTAATTTAACTGTTAGGTCAGTAATTGTCCGCTGCTGGGCTTCGATGATCATCATCAATCTTTCATTGGTCTTCTTATCATCGTCCTTTTTTGACAGCTCCTGTCGAACCATCTCCAATTCGGCTCTCAGCTCCTCTATGGTCTGCTCCTTCGACTCCATCTCCATTGCCATGGTGGAAGCGCCATTTCCTGACCCCCCTGGGTCAGTTTCCATATTAAATACCTCGGTTATCTCGCTTTTCGTCTAAAAAATTTTCCGGATCGAAATTACGGGACAGCTGCTATCAGTGCCCTATACAGGGCGATTTGTTCACTGTTGTGTACACATCTTTTCATTTGGGAGTTGAACCAATCGTGACTGCATCTCAGACATGCGAAAGACACTCTAGGCTGGTCATCGAGCAAACTGAGTATTGCAACCACATTGAGCTTGCAACATCTGAGGCTGACACGACGGGTTATAAGCTAAGGCAAATATCACACGATCAGAATTCACGGTAATCCGTTCCATAGGGGCTGCGTTCCCAAATTATTACAGAGTATACTTTGAATAACTCTGTAACAATTTTTGCGTTCGTAATTGTTTGACCTACCTAATCCATGCGTTCGAAAATGTAATAAAGTATTCCCTCTGGAACGTAAAAAGTGCGCTTTTCATCCGGTGCTCAAAACCTTGGGAATAGAGGTGTTGTTACTTGTCATTCTCACATTGTTTGTTTACTTTATTTGGTTATCAAAAAGTGCTTAAAATTCCCAAAATATGGTATATATTTTTCTTGATACGAGGGACGTCTTTCAAGTTTTGCATATGGAAATAAAACAACACGGTAGGTAGCTTTAAATGACTTTGTTTTTCGAAGTATTCTCCACGAAGATTAATACACATCTGCATGCGCTCGAACCAATTTTCGAAGCACTTATTCCACTCGTTTGCTGGCAGATCCAAAACGGCATTTTTGAATGCGTCAACTGCTTCTTCTGGTGACTGGAACCTTTGACCACGCAGTCTGTTTTTAATTTTCGGGAAAGTAAAGAAATCGTTAAGACTTAGATCGGGACTATATGGAGGATGGTGCAATAATTCCACGTTTTCTTCCGTTAAATACTGCCTTGTTTTTTGGGCTGTGTGCGAGCTTGTATTGTCTTGGTGGAGGATGATTCTTCTTCCGGGGTTGATTTTTCGAAGCTCGGTGATGACTTTTGGCAAACAAATGGTGGTATACCAATCCGCTGAAAGTTATTTGCTCATTAAGAGGAATTGTTGCAATATGACCCGCTTTTGACACAAATGTCGCGACCATCGTTTTCGAAACACTTCGAGAACGGATGACTTTTGTTCTTCACCTTGGAACACCAAACAGCCGACTGTCGTTTATTTTCTGGTTCATAACAGTAAATCCACGATTCATCACCACTAAAAATGCTGTACACATTTTTTGAGTTTCTGGAATTGAAACGGCCAAGCGTTTTTTGACACCAATTAACCTTGGCTGCTTTCTGCTCTTCAGTCAACAGGTGGGGTATCCAACGAGAAACTAATTTTCTTACTCCTAATTCTTCATGTAAAATTTTTTGAATTGAGGTCTTTGAGATCTTCAAGGACGCCTCAATCTCGCGATATGTCACATGTCTATCTTCAATGATGAGTTTGCGCACGGCATCGACGTTTTCCTGGATGACTGCCGTTTTTGGTGCACCCACCCTGGGATCGCCGCTAAGACTCACCCGTCCACGTTTGAATTCTTCATACCAACGGGTAATTGTCAACTGATGTGGCGCTTCGTTGCCGAAGACAGACAGTAACTCAGCTAGGCATTCTTGTTGCGATAATTGTCTCTGAAAGTTGTATAATAAATTATGGCGCGAAAATGTTCTCGGTTGAGTTCCATTTTTCTAATGACTTGGTGACACTTAAAAATTCACTGTAGTGAGAACCTGCACGTATTGTTGTGAAACTTTGAATTTAAGTTCACTAAAGAGTGAGGTCAAGATTCAGTACTGACGTTCGATCCGCGCGGCCTACTATGTTTCTATATGCAAAAGTTAAAAGACATCCCTCGTAAATGTGCTAACCTCGTATCCATAACGTTTCTTATTAATACAAGGGTCGCAGAAAACGTAATTAGAAATTAGTTGGCTGTCATAAAGTGTAATGATTAAGGCATTCTAAAAATAACACAGTATTCCAAAGTAAAATGTAATCTTTAAAGTCTACATTCCATTTCTATGTACGGTATTACAAGCGATTTACAAACCCACCCATGTCGTGTGACATTCGCCATTTCATTGTGACATGATAACACTGTAGGGTGTTGAATGCCGGGTTATTAAGAGATCTCATAGGATTATAGATGGTGACGTAAGCTGTCAAAATAACGCAACGTTTGATCTTGTCTTACATAGGATGAACTTAGAAAATTCTTAACAGGAAATTTTGCAAGTGAATCTATATTGAATCGCCAGTGTAGCCAAAAATATTCAGATCTAAGAGTTAAATCGGAGCACCTAGCGCGCTGCTAAGCTTACACATCTGGTATAGCTAATCTGAATGCCAACTGTTGTTGAAATATAAGCAATAACTCTACAGTATGGCTATTTCAAGTTCTGCCTACGTCCTGAAATAACAAAATCTAGCTAGCTGTTGGTGGGAAATCTGTACTTTCCTGGTCCTCGCTGTGTCTCTGATGGAAGTTTCAAAGAAATCTCTCCACAAAGCGACTACAACTAATTAATGGAGTTAATTACTGCCAGCACTACGGTTTCGTCGTAGGTGTTGCCGGGAAAACCCCAGGACGATACGAAGAAAAGACCCAGTCAATTCAATTCATCTTTACTCCTACTTACTTCACGCGCAGTATTTCAAGAAGCAATCTATGCAGTGTTATAAAATATCAGAAGCGGGATTGATATCATGAATCAAATGTACTGTTACCTCTAATATTTACATTCTGCAAATATTAAAACTATAGCACTTTCTTTACAAATGTGTAGCTAGGCCAACATACGTAATTGCTAATGTCCAGTGGCCAAACATTCGTTGACAGTTATTACTCATTTTTCTGTACTTCAATCCAGGTTGGGCTAATTTTTGTTTTATTCATTCAATGACTATTAACGAATGTAAAAATTGTTTCTTATATTATTTACGCATAATAAATAATTCCATTTATTTAAAGAAAAAATATTCGAATGAAAATGATTCATTAGGCGATAAACGAATAAAATAAAACAATGAAATATGATGACCGCCGTTGTAAGTACGCTTCACTTTTCTGATATTTACTTAGCAACACATCTTCCATTTGCTCATTATAATTAATTCTATATATGATGTAAATGAGCTTTTAAAAATTATCCAAAATATTTTAATTGGGGTAATTATCTAGATATGCAGGTACCAATTTATTCGAGTTAAATTGTTACTGTGCCACCACAAAATTTACCTTACTTTGACGAGACGCTTAATACCGTGCAGTGTAAAGTTATATACTAGTAATTCCAGTACATCTTTACTGTGGATTGATTGCTAAGGGAAAATAATTAGGGGATGTTTAATAGTATATTACATACCTTGTGCGAGGACAAGAATGGCTTTCACCATCAAGGTATCAATATAATTTTTTTTACTACTAACGACGATATATTACCACATTTAATTTAATTAGATTTCGAAATGTAGCATATCTGTGAATTTTAGGAACGCCCGGCAACACTGTACGAATAAAGCACAGAACGGTTTCTAGGAGAAGGACGCAGCTGATACGACAAAGATAGAAGATGCTACATATATCGACACATGCGTTTCCCACTCATTTCCAAATAGACTTTGTAGTGTCTTGAAGTAATAATAATTATTAGAAATATTCAAAAATGGACAAAGGATTTAGTAGCAGTGTCAACTTCTTTACTCAGCAAGCGAAAGAAGCTCTACATTGATGCGTACATGCATTATTTACGTAGAGGGTGAAATTTGTTTATGTTTTTTATACCGAAGCAGCCGCGCAGCCAGAAGCTTCCTCTTGTAGATTGTTCCACAATCCCTACACCCTCGGGACAAAGGAGCGGTCGTATCGGCCAGTTCTGGAAATGTAACATCTTATAGGAATGCTGTGAATAATGGCTATTTCTCGGGTTAATAGTCAAAAAATATTAAGTATGGTTGGTTATATATTTCTTTGTCATTATCAAGGCAGGAACTTCGTATAATCCCCATGTAAGTAGGTTATATAAGAAAAAAATGCGCCAATCTGTAATTATTTCCTCTTTCATCATCACGGCATACAATAACGCCTCTTCGTTAACCCATGCAACGTCCAAAAATTGATGCAAGGCCATGTATAATTCGTTTCCAAGAATGACAGACTGGCGGCGTAATGGAAGCAGACTGTTATTTAAAATTCCACTCCATAAAAAGCTATCTGGATTTCGGCCTGCTTCCGTTTATTTTGGAGCACTGTTGACCTTTGTTAGGTTGGGAGATTTTTTAATATACGTATGACATGACACATATTGTATTGATTCCTCATGTTTGTCTGACCAATGAAACTACACGCATACACGCACCTTTTTTCGACAATATTTTATTCATCTGTCTTCCAGGTGACATTTCGTTTGTTTTTTCTTTTCATTTTCAGATTACAATAGTTTGAAAGTTCCGTAACATGCCGAGCCATCATTCCAAATTATAAGATGGCACCAGCATAGCCCAGGGTTACTGAAGACTCTAAAATCAATTTTAAAACAATTACAAAATTACAATTTTTACATTTTACCATTTATTCACGACAACATCCGGCATAATAATAAGAAAGAGAAAGATAAACTATTTTGTCTTATAGACCATTGCAGTACCACCACTTTTCAGGCCTTTCCAAAATATGTAAATCATGAAATAGTCAATGTCCTCCTGTGGTATCTCATTCCAGGCAACCACCAACTCCTCTCGATGTGCTTCTAGAGTCTGAGGAGAACGTTGCAAATTGAGCAATCTCCTACCCATCATATCCCACACGTGCTCAATTGGGGATAAGTCGGGAGATCTTGGTGGCCATGGTAACAATGTGACATCATTATGTTGAAAGAAGTCTATTGTGACTCTTGCAACATGTGGTCGGGCATTATCTTGTTGGGAAGTTGGATCTGCCAGGGTGTCTAGATAGGGTAAAAGATGGGGTTCTAGAACTTCGTGGATATAACGCTGCGCGTTCATGTTACCTCTGATGAAGATTAAAGGTGACCTGGAACCATAACCTATAGCACCCCAAACCATAACTCCAACAGTGTGATGAACATGTCTTTCAACAAAAAACTGTGGATTCCTCCTTTCACCACGTCGCCTTCTAACCCTGGCACGACCATCGTGCATGCCTAAACATAATCGAGACTCGTCACTAAAGACAATACTGTTCCATTTCTGATCCCAGAGTGACCGTTGTCTGCACCACTCAAGGCGATTACGTCGGTGTTCTCGAGTTAAAGGGAGGACCCAGTGTGGCCGGTATGAAAACAAGCCAAGACTTCTCATTCGTCTGTAAACACTTCGCATGCCAATAGGTCTTCCGTGTTCTGCAAACCATTCATTTGCAATGGACCTGGTAGTGGAGAAACGGTCCCTTAAGGCCAATAATCTTAGGCGGCGATCTTCACGGTCTGTTGTTCTACGGCGGCGTCCAGTGCCCCTTGCTCTTTGCGTACGGCCTTCTCGAAGCCATGCCTGACAACACCTAACCACAGTATCTACACTTCTTTGCACTCTAACTGCAATTGCCCGAAAAGAAAGTCCAGCTTCCCGAAGTCCCACTATACGGCCCCTATCAAACTCACTAAGTTGACGAAATCGTACAGGTCTCCGTACTCTAGGCATCGTAACCGATCGTAAAGGATGTCAAGAACCAAAATCCGCCAACGTTGATTCTTTACTGCAGCTGAAATATTCATTTTTAGAGCGTTAGTGAATTAAAAAAAAGCAGTATAAAAACCGGAATGTCCAACTGATAAGGCTGAAAATTTTTTCACTTGTTAAATGATAAATACATTCACCGACTTTTATTAAAATAAAACCATTTAAACTGGGTGTTCGGATTTATATGTCACTTAGTATATATTAATCAAAAGATTGGCCGTCCTTTCAATAAAAATTGCTGCAATTTTTGCAGTCGCATTCCTTATTGCTTGTATATGGCCAAATTATGTTCTAACAATAGCGGGCGTACTTCCTTGTACACTAACAAACGCGATATTTATCTGATGAGAGTCCTATTATATAATAGTGTTCTAATAATGCAATCTCCAAAACTCTGCTGCTAAAAAGCTCTTCATCGAGGTCACCATGGGCGTATTCTAAATAATATTTAAAGTATTTTGAGAATTCGAAAACATTAATTCGTTGAATGCTCACATTTGGATGTGATAAGATAATCTCGCTTAGGCCGTAGAATTTGGCGTTAGGTAATACAGGATGTTTCACAACTTATCCGACAAATTTTAACGTATGCACTGTTACGAAAGAAGTGGATTTCTCAAAAAAAATGTAATAAAAAGAAATCGAGAAAATAAAATAATACAGTTTAACAGTTCACTTACTTATAAAAGCGGTTCAAAATTGTTTCCATTGACTGCAATACAAGCTTGGGCGCGTCTAATCCAATTTTTTCGGCGCAGTAATCCAAATACACTTCCTTTCTGCTGCTTATTCCCGGATTTTCTTCCACAATATCCAAAAGTTCGTCTTCGGCATTTAAAACGCGTAGTGGGCGAAGTCGACCCCCATCCACTCCACGTCTGGGGCGTAAATCTCCATTAGCACGTGCACGTAAAACAATTAAACTAAATGTTTCCCGATGTGGTAATTGCCCGTTCGGAAATCAGTGTGTATACAAACGAGCAGCCGCTCGCGAATTTTGCGCTGCTTCTCCGTACGCTAAAACAATGTCCAATAACTCCTCATTACACATGTGCCATTTTTATTAATAAATAACTAAAAACATATACTCGCAAAATAATTTCTTATTTAACTTCACAAAAATCGACCGTTCTTCATTCAGATCATCCACGATACAGATCAAACCTTATTTAACCGTTTTTATCAGTACAAAAAAATATTCCTGGTATTTCGTTTTCGACGGTTGTTTGGTACAACATTTGATACAATAAATTATTAATGCACGTTCTAATATCACGACGATGAACGCAAAATACAGATATTTATTTTTCAATTTATTATTGAAACTCAGGTTTATAACTAAATTTCTGTAGGACTGTAGGACTTTTTTTGAGAAATCAACTTCTTTCGTAACAGTGCATATGTGGTTAAAATTTGTCGGGTAAATTGTGTACACCCTGTATAAATGTTCAATTCCATATACTCTCTGTTCTAAAATGCGTTTGATAACAATTTCTTAACCCTATTTTTAAGCGGTATTTTTATTGCAAACATTCGCTTTCTTCCTTTCTCGCCTTTTTTCAGGCATTTGATAAACTGATCTTCTATATAAATTTTCTTGAACCTTTCTTCCTGAGACTGGCCTATTTACCTTTACGGTCGTAAGATTTCCATCGCAGTTGATGAATTTTCCATTCAGTCACAAGGATTTCCACAGTAGGAGCAGTGGAAATATACAGTTTGGACAATAATTGAACCCCGTGCCGTTCTGAATCTATTGTAGACGCCTCTGAAGTCTGTTAAATTAGTTCTACGAGTGCCGGCTGGTCTCACACAAAGGATGATCTAGACCTAGACGGTGACGGTTGCGGCTGCTGCTAACACGGGCAGCTTGCAGCTCCACATTTCCTCGTACCGGCGACGGATCGTTCATTATTTTGGTCAGCGGTACAAGGTCGTACCGCCCAGCAACGTACCGTGGCAGCCGTTTTGCCACACTGTTGCATTCTTTGATGTATGTGGGCGAACTCGACCGTGCTCTTTGCAAAGCTTTTTTCCTATCTAGAAATGTTCATGAAGAACGATCATCGATCTTATATGGTGCAATAGACAAATAAGAATGAAGGGTTTTTCGTGAAGATATATCATGACAAATACAGGGTCCGGCAAAATGATCTTTCGCATCTTAACACGTTCAGTGCGAACAGCGTCAAAAGACGCCCTCCGCTCCTGTGGTGGGAGGCGAACGGCGTCTTTCGACGCTCTCTGCCACCTTCCAAAAAAGTATTTCAGTTTCTGAGGTGGGTATCCTCATCCCAGTTCGCAGTTAATGTGTTAAGCTTTAATAAAAACGTCATTGTACAATGCTGTTTAGATTTCATTTTTATTAACTGAAAATGTATGCTATGGCTTTTGTTTTTATTAAGTTTTGAACATCACCTAGTGCAAGTGACGACCATTGTTTTCGATACAAATTCGAAGCTGACTTCATCAATCGAGCAGTAATTTGAGGCGATATTCCTGTAATTCCTTGGCATATCGCTGCTTTCATTTCGTGATTGGTTCGGGGATGTTGTCGAAAAACCTTCGCTTTCACATAGCCCCAAAGGAAAAAGTCGCATGGGGCAAGATCGGGTGAACGCGCAGCCCACCCAACGTCTCCACGTAACAAGATTACGCGTCCTGGAAACATTTCCCTTAAAACGTCCATTGTCCTTCTTGCCGTATGAGCCGTAACTCCATCCTGTTGAAACCACACATCCGGAAGTCCAGGTTATCTAATTTTTAGTTCCAAAAAATTGCTTAGGAGGTCGACATATCGATCGGCAGTTTGGGTGACCGACACGCCTCACTCTTAAAAAAAAAATGGGACCCCAAACGTCAAAAGATCCAACAGCACACCAAACGGTAACATGTGGGCTATGAAGAAGCATGACATAGAGCTGCCGAGGATATTCTGATGCCCAGTAGCGAAAATTCTGCTTGTTCACACACCCAGGCGCGAAGTGAGTACGAAAAGTTCTCTGAGTGGTAATCACAGATTTGTTACTTTTTATAGATATTTCGATAACGAAGGCTCGCCCGACAAATCATGACGCCAACTAAAATGGTAAGACGCGAGCTAGCAACTAAGCTAACATCCCCCTTTCTTCAGTGATTTGGGCACATTGGCGGTGCCAAATCTGGGAGATCATTTTGCCGGACCCTGAATATGTCATTGTACTGAAGAAGATTACCTTTGTGATTGTAACATTTATATTAAAGGAGAGTTTCAAATACATGTGGTTTTTATTGGCCAGACAAGCATGGGGTACTATCGACATGTAAACCTCAGGATACGTTTCAGATGTTTCGTATTTTAATGCTAGTTGAATATTTATGCGCAACAGTTTAAATACACCACACTATAAATTATGATTTATTGAAAACAGGAAACGAAATTTCATCAACATTTATTTGTTTACACCACCAACATATCAACGAATTATGGTGGGAGAACAGAAGTTTACATACTACAAACATGGAATATATACGAAATATAGCATTCAAGAGGTTTGTGTGTAGTTACACAATCACATAAAAGATTTGCAGAGGATCTTAACAGAAGTTACAGTCGTATCGAATATGTCAATTCTGTATTGGAGTATGGTTTGGGGGCTGTATGGCTGCTATGCGTACTGCTGTATCTAGAGGGCCGTCCACTCGTATTCTTTTTTTCAGCAATACAACGCTCGTCCCCATATTGTTCGTCGTAATACAAACTTTCTTCAAGAAGCAGGCGTTAATGTTTTGCCGTGCCCACCACCCCGTTCACCGGATTTAAATCCCATCGCATAATTGTAGGATATGATGGGGAGGAGACTATCCACTATGCACCATCCTCCACAGACTCTGCCACAGGTAATCCAAGAAGTTCGAGTTGCTTGGATTGAGGTGCCACAACCAGATCTATCATCCCATTTTGTCGATGCCTAGGCATATACAGCTGCGGGGTCGCCCAACACATTAATTTTTTGACTACTTGTCAATAAAATTTCGTGAAAATGTTATCGTTTCATTCTTGATGTAAGACTAACTACCTCATTGTCAAAAAATAAAGTTGAAGAAATTACTTTTTCACACTTCTAACGTCAGTGAGTATATATTAAACGACAGGCGACTTGGAATAGACGCCGTATTTCTGGATAAATACCATCTATCCTGTAGGACAGATATTTCAGAAACTCAAATTGTATATTGAGTCAAAAGTCGTCGCATAGCAGGGATTCCAAGTAATTCTAGAGTACTAAAGTTTTGACATCACAAATGAATTATACAACCTGAATGAGCCTTTATGCTATCAAAATCACGAGAGTTGCGTAACACAAAACTCAAGCTTCTATTTACAGATATTACTCTTTACGTTTGGTTTGAAGCTGAAAGTTGTGTCAAAGATGACTCCAAGATCTTTAAATTCTATTACATTCGGCAGTGTTGTTTGATTAACCTCATAATGATTTTCTAGTGGGCGTTGTTTTCTAGAAAACATAATGCTGGATACATTCATGGATAGGTTATTATTGTCGCACCAAATTATTATCCGGTTAAGATTATCTTGGAGACGTTCGCAATCGGTGCTGTTGCTAACTTAATATAGATTTTCAGATCATCGGCATGTAACAGAAAGTTGCAATCAATGACGTCAGCAATGTCGTTGATAAATGTAATGAAAAGAAGTGGTCCTAACGATGATTCCTGTGGAACACCTGATGTTCGAGTAAATTTTTGAGATTTGGATCCTTTGAATTCCACAAACAGCTTACGGTTGGACAGATAGATATTGGATTTGGATGTAATATGTGTCCGATATATACTATGTAACGGTCTTGTCATGTAAAGGGTGGGCCATCAGTTGGTTTTTTTAAGTTGGTATCATTTTGACAGTTGGAATGTCAACTCGTCACAGAGCACAAGTGGGCATCAGTCCTGTGCGGAGAATTTTGCATAACGACCTGTGATTATCTCTTTACAAGGTGCAACTTGTGCAAGAGTTGATACAAAAGACCATCCGCTTCGTTATCGTTTCTCTGTGTGGGCTCTAAATCAATTGGAAACGGACGTCAATTTTGGTCGCCAAATCATCGAAGTCCATTTCTATCTGAGAGGTTACGTTAACAAGCACAACATGTGGGCATCAGTCGCACTTCTGTGTGGAGAATATTGCATAACGACCTGAGTTTATCTCTTTACAAGGTGCAACTTGTGCAAGAGTTGATACAAAAGACCATCCGCTTCGATATCGTTTGTCTGTGTGGGCTCTAAATCAGTTGGAAACGGACGTCAATTTTGGTCGCCAAATCATCGAAGTCCAGTTCTATCTGGGAGGTTACGTTATCAAGCAGAACAGTGGGATTTGGGGATCTGAAGATCCACATGTCGTCATAGAAAAATCCAGACATGTTGAGGAGTTTTTTTGTGGCCACTATTAGACGACATGCACTTGCACAATCTCTGGTTCCAGCAGGATGGCGCAACATGCCACACCAGCCGTGGAACAGTTGATCTTTTACACACTAAGTTCGGTCATCGCGTTATGAGCAGTTTTGGAGGCGTTTATTGGCCTGTCCGCAGCGGTGATTTGACGCCCATGGATTATTTCCTGTGGGGTACTGTTAATGACCCCTGTTACACTAACGATCCTCAAACAATTAATGTTCTTAAGGAAAATATCCGTCGATTTCTTGATGAAATAGACACACAAACTATCGAAAATGTGCTTCAAAATTGGGCTAAGAGGATGGACTACTGCTAGGCCAGTCGCGGCAGCCATTTAACTGAAATTGTTTTTCATAAATAATCGGAAGGTGTATTCTTTTGAATAAAGTATCGAGGAAATCTTTCATACATATATTGTATACGACTGTTATAATAACTTGTATTTAGCATCAGCATTGCGACAATTTAAATCAAATGATTTAAATCACGATATAAATCTTCTGATTTTGTTCAAGATATACATTGTCAGTTGCACTGCCAGCCACTGCACTTTTATCACATCTCTTCTAGCGTTTCTTCATCCTATCAGCAACATCTTCAAATGTCACATATTTTGCATGTTGCTCGGCAACCAGTTTGTTCATCACGTTTACGTTCAATAAAATATTGCCAGAGATCTTTTTTTTTCGATCGGTACTTATATTGAGACATGATTAACACGAAATATAAATATGTACGTACCTTCGTAAAGTAAATCGACAATTAATGCCTTATCCCGAAATGCTGAGTTTATATAGTTGGGCCTAGTTTCTTCTCCTAACTTGAACGTGGATTTTTCATGCCAACAGAGGTTTGTTTGGATTAGTGCAAGAAGTCGAGACAATTATGTTTGGTTGGACAAACTAAAAAAAATTAAAATAAATTGTTGTAAGAATGGCCATGGCCCATAAATAAGAAAATCTTGTATTTTGATTTTATTCGAAAATAAATCGTGATCTTTATCAACCTTGTATAGCAGTCTGATTCTGTTGAGATTTAGCTTTACGATATTGGTTTTGGCATAGTGAATGATGACCACGAGATTCATTTCTATACGGCTGAGTTGGAAAAATGCTGATTGCTCATAAATATCACGAAAACTTTGAGGCTATTGTATTAGAAAAGATTTTGTTATTCTAACCATCATTTCAACACTTCATCAACTAGTCAACATTATTTTTTGGACGAGACGCCAGTCAACATTATACCAAAAGGTAATCTATGATCTGGAAGGAAACATATTTAATAATAATACTGCATTTTTGTAGATTACCGAGGCCAATTTACTTGCTTCGTTCACAGTTATGAGTTTTTATTAACATTTTTTACTACGAAATTCTTCATAGGAACTAAACTTCTTTCAGCTGAAAGACCCTCATGGTTTATTATTAACAGCGTTCCCGTTAAAGTGAAATTTCTTAAGCTATCATACTCGCAGGCATGTTTATATTACGAAGTAATATATGTAGAATATTAACTCAGCCGTCTTTGTTGTTGTGTCTGGAATAAGTGCCGCTTCAAGCTTCAATAACTGGCGCTGCCGTGAGATCAAATTAGCTTCAAACATAAATTAGTAAAATTTATAGCAAGGCCATATTGAAACTACGTCTAATGGCAGGCAAGAAAATGACTTTTCAGGTAGCTGACGAGCGAAGAAGAATACTCCATTTAAACTTTGCTGAACAATGCCACGCGTCACTGACTGATAATCGTCGTATGGGTTAAAAATGGCAAAAGATGCAGCCATGAATTTAGCACATTTTTCTCATCTAGTTTTGGGAGTCACGAATTAGTTCAATTGGATTTCTATATTCATAAAAACAGAAAGTTCATAACTATAAAGTTTGTTCACTTTGAAGCTATTGGCGGACGTTAACCATGCTTTCTGGTACTGTTCCAATTATTGAATATGCGATTGGGGAGAAATTGTATTTTAAGATATCCTAATGATATAGATTCGTTAATTTTAGGTATATTATATACTCTCAAACTCAATTTTATAATGCACATAAACTCAACCCATTGAACAAATAGACAGCTTAAGATCGGATGCTCGTGGAATTGATGATCTAACGCTGACAATGATAGAACTTAGTCTTCTAACGTTAATGAAATTACCAAATTTAGAATATTGGGCTCACAAAAAGATATTTAAAAACTTGACACACGCCAACAATTTCGATTAAAAAAAGCAGGCTTCACAAAATACGTATTCCATTATTGAAATTATTCGATTAATTTAGGACGCAGACTGTACCACTCGAGGTCGAATGGCAAGTACGTGGCATCTCTTTTGCTCTCCCTCTCTCGTGTGCGCAATCCCAGCAAATCCTCATATCTCTTCCTACACTTTACGAGCTGTAGATTACCGAGGCCAATTTACTCCCTTTGTTCACAATTCTGCGTTTTTATTAACATTTTTTCTTCATAGGAACTAAACTTCTTTCAGCTGAAAGACCCTCATGCTTTATTATTAACAGGGTTCACGTTAAAGTTAAATTTCTTAAGCTATCATACTCGCAGGCATGTTTATATTACGAAGTAATATATGTAGAATATGAACTCAGCCGTCTTTGTTGTTGTGCCTGAAATAAGTACCGCTCAAGCTTCAATAAGTGGCGCTGCCGTGAGATCAAATTGGCTTCAAACATAAATTAGGAAAATTTATAGCAAGGCCATGTTGAAGTTACGCCCAACGGAAGACAAGAAAATGAGTTTTCAGGTAGCTGACGAGCGAAGAAGAAGACTCCATTTGACGTCCTTTTAAACTTTGCTGAACAATACCACGCGTCACTGACTGACGATCGTCGTATGGGTTAAACATGACAAAAGGTGCAGCGATGAATTTAGCACATGTTTCTCATCTAGTTTTGAGGAGTCACGAATTAGTTCAATTGGATTTCTATATACATAAAAACAGAAAGTTCATAGCTATAAAGTTTGCTCACTTTGAAGCTATTGACTGACGTTAACCATGCTTTCTGGTATTGAATATGCGATTGGGGAGAAACCACTGCCGGACTGTCGTTTTAAACGGTTCCTTTTCTCCCTGCAGACATTCGTCAGAAAATTTCTGACAAAAGAGCTGCAATTAAGCAAGCGAAGAGGTCTTGTCACCCAGATGACATTCACAGAGCAACGAATCTTGTTCATGAAGTGAGAAATGCTCTTCATGAATTCGGTAATGAGCAATGGAGCGACTTTCTGTCGGGGATGCTTGACTCAAGTATTCCTCTCTGGAAAGTTGCAAAGTCGCTCAGAAACGGAAAGCGAGAACAACTCCCGCACATCCACGGTCCTAGGGGCATAGTCGTAAGACAGAGGAAAAGGTCGAGGTTTTCGCTGATGCAATGGAAAGTCAGTTCTCTCCCAACTATGACCTTAATAATGACCTCGACGAGGAGCAACATATTGTAAGATCCGTCAGGAGATATTTTAGGGCCAATGGCGTCAGTGGCAGTAGTGCCTCCCTTAGTGATTTTTCCTCGGAGGAATCTTCAGAAGATTCCTTAATTGACGAGCTGCGCGGCACATCAGCGGAATCTCCTGAGACTCCGCATTGCACAGCAGAGCTCCAAGGTCATATTAAAGACCTCAAGGTGCGTAAAGCACCTGGAGAGGATCGAATCACTAATAAGCCGCTGAAGCTACTTTCGCGGAAGTCCTTAACTTATCTCGTGGCAATAATCAATGTCATGCTAAGGACCCAGCACTTCCCAACGGCGTAAAAGACCGCTGATGTCATAATGATTCCAAAGAAGGTGGGTTCGATATTCCCCCAGGATTACCGCCCCATTAGTCTACTGTCAGCTCCTTCTAAGCTCGCTGAAAAGGTGATTCTACGTCACCCTGAAAATTTCTCGGTAGACCACAATGTGATGATTCCTGACGTGCAATTTGGCTTTCGGTCTGAGCATAGTACGGAGCTACAGGCCATAAGGCTTGTTGAACGAGTAACCAGGGGGTTCACCCGTAACGAAAGTACTGGCATCTTGCTACTGGATGTCTCAAAGGCATTTGACAAGGTGTGGCACAAGGGCCTTCTCTACAAATTGATCCATAAGGGCTTCCCCTTCTGGCCCCTAAAACTTTTGAAATCCTTTCTCGAGGGTAGGAAATTTCGGATCAAAATTAATAACGTTCTGTCGACAACACGGCCCATCAAAGCCAGTGTCCCTCAGGGTTCGGTTCCTGGACCATTCCTTTATTCACTTTTTATTCATGACGTCTCTTGCCCCAGCAGCTGTGAAACCTATCTCTATGCTGATGATACTGCCCTGGTGGCCCAGTCGTGCTTTGGCAATCTTAAGACTTTGGTGTATATGTTACTAGAAAAACTGCTTATTTCCGTAAGATCTATATGTGGTGTAAAGTCCCAACTTTGACGACACCTTGTTTATCGGGCCGTGGGAGGATGTAAAAATTAGTATAAGTTACTTAATTGTTCTTATTGCATTTTCCCAAAAACTTTACTATCAACTCTTTCAGACAAATTTTGATAAATATCAGCGATACAGCTCAAAAATGAAAAATTGAATTCAGAACATATGTAGTTTCAATCATTATTGACTCGTGAGAGTATGATAAAACAAAAAATTGACTTTACCATTTCCGCAACAAAATACGGTACAGCGAACAAATTTCCAGGCTGCAGCATCATTTATAACGATGGCAATCAGACAGTTAATCATAATGTTGAGTCTGCGAGAGATAGTTACAGCCACGTAACCTCATAGGGCAAATTTTATGAGGCTTGCATCATAAGGACTAGCCGCCCGGTCCGCCCGACGAACGACTATCGTACTCCCGCTTGGCCCCTCAGACTTAATCAACGTCGACGTCTTAATTGGCAAATTTTAATTACCTACCGCCAGGTCAGCGGCGTCTCTCTATTTTAACACTCACGTACACAAGGTAAATACTATCCACTGCGTTTCTTCGAATCATGTTTGAATCATACCTAGAAGGTGAAAACATGTAAGGGTGTTTCATCGGCGGAAAATGTTCCATTCGGTGTACCTCAAGGCTCCGTGTTGAGGCCGTTACTCTTCTTTGTAATAGATTTATCTATTTATGCGCCCTTAGTAACACAATCCTGGCAGGATCGCCATGTAATAGATTTATCTAGTTTGGGCTTTGCATCCTTAGTAACACAACTTGGTTTCAGGATGATTAACAATTAACTATTCTGTCTTGAAATGTATATTGATAGGTACTGCAAGGTACCTCGGTCATTCCTGTGCCTAGCGCAGCATTTTCGGTGAATTATATTACTTGCAATACCTAACAAGTTTATAATAACAATATACAAGGTGTCCGCAAAGTTGGGGTTTTCCTTTACACGACGTATAGATCTTGAAAACATAAGCAATTTTTCTTAGTACCATATCCACCAATGTCTTAAGGGAACCGAGATAAAGGGCTCTGCAACATCAAAAATATCTGAATACCGTCCTTTAGCCGCGACCCGCGACATCACCGACTGGTACAAGGTCACTGGCTCAACCCAACGACAGAACTGGGTCGGGGTCAGTGTGTCAGGTCAGTATGCAACCTTCAACCGACGGTTACGGTCACGCGTGTGAAGAGGGGCTGTATCCGTTTCACGACCAACGTGTACAAGCCCTTCAACCTGACGATTTTCCAGCAAGAGTGCGGTTTTGTGAGTGGTTGTTGCTTCAACATGACAATAATCCGGACTTTTTGAAGTGCATATTGGTGACAGACGAATCTACGTTCACGCGTAATGGAGTGAATAACTTTCGCAACACTCATGTTTGGTCAGTAGAAAATCCGCACGCTGTCCGTCGGGCACATTTTCAACAAACATTTTCGGTGAATGTTTGGGCTGGCATTTTGCCTTCCTTGTTAGAAGATGTGCCATTAAGTGTAAGACAATCAATGTGGTTTCTGCACGATGGTGCACCGCCCCATTTTAGACGCGAAGTGCGTGAGTTTTTGAATGAATTATTTCCGAATAGGTGGATCGGACGTAATGGACCTGTAGCGTGGCCTCCGCGATCTCCAGACTTAACATCATGTATTTTTTTCTTTGAGGAGAAATGAAACGCTTAGTGTACAAAACTGAAGTGTATACGGTTGACGAACTTCGTCTCAGAATTGAACAAGCTGGTGCTTTCATTCGGGGGAGGGCTCCATTCTCAAAGCCTGCACCGAAGGTTGACCACCTTTTTATATATCATCTGCTAATCTTAGCTCAAAGAATCAGATACAACAGGGTACCTCCTTATCTTCTAAAAAAGTTTGTACCACGTCGTGATCTTAATGCCAGAAATCTCAGGCATAACTCCGACTTCAACATACCTAGTTATAAAACTGACATTTTCTTTCCATCGTAGCTTCGCAAACTAGTTGAAAAAGTATTGACTTTATCACAATTCTGGATATGACATTACAGTAAATTATGATCTCTTACCTATATCAAATGTATGCACTATTTTCTTGGCCCCGTTTTATTTATTTTTTTAGTAGAGCATATTGCTAACACATTGCGGTAAAACAGCAAAAAAGCAAAAAGAAATCGAATTAAAATTCTCACTGTTCATTTGGTAAAAAATTTTAAGCACTGCCCTATCACACATTGCACGGAAATACAGGTTGAAATGTTTGAATCAAAAACACAAATTTCTCAACTTCTATAGCAACATTCGGGGATGTCTGGTCTTCTACTGCGCCTTTGCATGATATGAACAAAGGACACTACACGGCTCGAGAGAGAGACATGCAGAAAGATGATTTAAAGACGGTCGCGAAGCATCATCATTTTTAAACTAACATCAAATCAATAACGTGATTTCGAATTTTTCAAATTCGTTTTGTTTGGTTAACCTGCATACCGCGCGACTCCTAATTTGGTTATTGACTCATGTCGTACCTTGTCAGTCTTATCCAGTTGGATGCAGACTCTTGCGTCGTTTAGGAAAAGAATCCCGCACAAGAAATATAGAAATTGGGTCCCAGTGAATTTTTCTGAAAAATCAAATATTTATCGCCGTCTTGAAACAAAAGCCCTTATGGGACCAAAGTGATACTATGATTAGTTTCTGTGAACTAGGGGGATGAATTTTGTCCGATTTTCAAAAATGGTGAATGTGAAACTAGTTCTCAGGAAAATCGTTATACTAAAAAAATATTTCATTAAAACACCTTGTAGGAAGGACCTGTTGATCTGTCATTCCTTCAATAATTGTAGGACGCCTTTGTGGCCTCCTTGAGTTTCAAAGTCTCTTCTTTCGTTCAGAAAGGCTGGGGTATTTCTAGGTTTCTACTGTTACTATCAAAACACGAAACAGTAGAAATCTAGAAACACCCTTAACGTTGTAGGAATGACTGATGATACGGCCCTCATTTCCTACAAAGTCAATTTAATGGCAAGTTGATTTTTATATATTAATGTAGTGGCACGAGTTTTTCGAGAACTCAAAATTGCCTCAAAAGGACAGTTCGCTTTACAAGAGTGCGGTAATTGGTTACTTGTCATTTATTATGATTTCAACAAGGGCAATTCAAGGTCATGCTGACTTGGAAGGCTAAAGAGAAAGGAAAGGCTCGGTAACGTGAATAGCTATTTTAACTTACTAACTAATAATTTGTATTGGTCTCTTTCCGGCATGTGGAATGGGTTTGGTCAACTTTTTTGAAATCTATATGTGCTTAGAGTTTGGGCGTCAGACTTACGTCTACCATAATACCAATTAATCAGACAGACCCACAAGATAAAAAAAGGGGGAGGTCCCATTATATTTTTTCCACGTACTTTTTTACCCTGAACACAACTCTGAAGACAAATGGGGATCGGTAGACAAATAAGACAAACAAGAAAGGTAGATATTAACATCACACATTTTGGTATTTTTGGTGGATGTGCATCGCTACAGAGGTGGGTATAAAGTCTATCGAAATAAAACATCACAACTTGCCCCTAAATTGACCTTGTAAGGATCATAGTCCTCACCTTCCTACAAGGTATTTTAATGAAATTAATATCTTTCAGTATCAGAGTTCTTGGTCTGACAATTACAGTCGGTTCATTCACAATTTTTGCAAATTGGACAAAACTCTCCCCCCTATTTGACAAAGTATCAGTAGGAATGCTTTATTCCTAGAACTTTAGTTCAAAAAGGCAAGAAGTATACTGAATTTTTAGACAAATCGGCTGGGAGCCATTTTGCATATGTCTTCTCTATAATTTTTGGCGAAAGTGATTGCTCATAAACACGAACCCCAAACCGACACCAACTAACCTACAAAAATTCCAGCAGAGTCATATACTAATGCATAACTACTTGAATTAGTTGCTAACTGAATAGTTCAGAGTGATTAAAAGCTTTGCTTCTTGTTTACTTCCGTAGGGAAGTTTCGGGAAGCATTCCAAATTCATCACGTTCTAAGAGCTTCAAAATATAATCTCGTTAGCTTAGCCTGAATAATTTATGTCTCTTTTATCTCGTGCCGTCCCGACAGAAGTAAGATGTAAGCAAAGGAAAAGTACCCCGTAATGGAGTGGCTGAATAATATATGAAGTAAATACAATTATACTTCGTAGAAACCAGTAGGAAACGTTGGTAAAGAGATGTGTACTTCACCGTGTAAACGGTATCCTCGTTTTCGAGAACTTGTTTCCCCTTATTATATATTATTATATGAGAAGTTAAAAAAACGATTTAATGCTGTAGTGAACTTAAACTGTCTACGCTACTAGGCCTATAGTTGTTGAAAATATAAATACGCTTCCTTGCACGATAGGGTCCAATAGTAATGTTAGTAGCAAACTGAAGATTAAGATATGCAACATTTCGCTAATTCATCACGGGAATACCATAGCTGACTAGCAAGTTGCTAGAGGGATCATACCACATTTTCTAGATTTCGTGGAAGTGTTTTTTAGCATACCAAATTGTTTTTCATGGTTTGTATATGGGAAGGAACTGTAAAACTAGAAATCTGGCAATATAAGACAGCACAAAGTGC